GTGTGTCTTGGGCTCCAAAGCTTACTTTACCAAAAATAATGACCCGCTGTGATCCCATAAATGACTCACCGTTCGTACGCTAAACCTGAAAAACCAACTTAAAGGTAGAAGTCTCGTACATCTTTTGTACGAACAGTGTTGCTTTAAGAATACACGACTACCCTACCTGACAAGTTGATAACCCTGGCCATGTACCTTAATTTTCAAAGGATGACAGTTCTGCCAGGATTTGCCAGGATGCAAGGATTTTGACTCTTCTATCAGCGAATGCTAGTCACTCACACATTAGATAAGGTAAAAATTCCTTTTCATCTGCAGAATCACAAGCCAATAACAAAAGTTATTACAGGTAGACTACGTCTAATTGTATGCTTCCTGTATACATAGAAATATGTTAGCAGCGATATCGTAGTACTGCAGAATCCGCAGAAGAAGAGTTATTACAGGTAGACTACGTTTAATTGTATGCTTCCTGTATACATAGAAATATGTTAGCAGCGATATCGTAGTACTGAGTTGGTTCTACTTTAATTAAAGTAGCTGACTGGTACTAATTGAATTTTGCCATATATGCGTCATATTAGTCTTATGGTGTGACAATCATCTCTTTTTATCAGAACATCCTTACATTATAAGGAGCATATAGTCCTACGGTATTGGTAAGATTATTACCAAAAAAACAAAAATATTTTTACTTAAAGCAATATAAAAGAGTCTGAAAGAGTAAAAGCGAAGTCTTCAATAATATCTAAAAGACAACTATCAACAGCAACAAGTTATTGCAGTAAGTTTTCAATGACTATAATATTTTCAGAAATAGAACTCTAGCCGGACTTTTAGTCTTGTGATTAACCTACGTCAAAGCATTTCTTGTGGTAGTATTTCAAGTCATTGTTATCAACTGATAAATCAATGACTGTTCCAGCTTGGAAGTATTTACAAAATGAGGTTCGTAAGATGCTTACAATTGATTGTACATTAAGACTGAAAAGTTTTCGGAAATTCTCATTTAAAATTCGCGCGCTGTATATTTTTCGATATTTTAAGTTTATGTAGTTTGGCAGCACTGTCCTTAATTACTATGCCAAAAATGAGCTCGATCTGTCAGACAGTTCGTTTACGGCAGCTGTTGAAACCAGTTCACCTCAGTAGTGCGTTGCGAAATGTCTTCGACGGTCGTACGACCGTCCTGGAAGGCTTTGTACCACTCATAAACTTGAGTTTTCGATAAAACTGATTCCCCATAAGCCTTTTGTAGCATTCGCAACGATTCTGCACACGAAATTTCGTTCGAAACACAAAATTTGATGCAAACTCTTTGTTCAATATTTTTTTCCATTGTTTTTTTCGCAACGCCCTACTGAGGTGAACTGGTTTCAACAGCTGCCGTAAACGAACTGTCTGACAGATCGCGCTCATTTTTGGCATAGTAATTAAGGACAGTGCTGCCAAACTACATAAACTTAAAATATCGAAAAATATACAGCGCGCGAATTTTAAATGAGAATTTCCGAAAACTTTTCGGTCTTAATGTATGTTGGTACATTCTCATCATAAAAAGCTTCTTAATGTGGTTTTCATCCGAATTAATCATATAATCAAAGATTGAATATATGAGCTGTGTTATGTTTTCTGATCGTTCTCACGACGACTGCTTTTTGTTTAGCAAGACTAATTCTGATGATTTGCTTGATGTTTCATTAAATACACAACTAAATAATTTTTTATATGTAAGCATACATATCTATGCTAATAATACTTGATTTGTTAGATTAAATAATAATAATAAATTAAAATATGTAAAATAATTGTTTACTAAAAGTATATTTATTTTGCAACGTAGTAGTTCTCTTTGAGTGCTATATATTTGATGCAGTGCAAATATATAGCACATTATAAATATTATATCTATTTAAAATGTATATAGTGTATAAATATAATACTCATCTTGCTAAATACTTTTTCATGGGTAACCAAATAAATGTCATTTGAGGTTTTTAATAATATTGTGCAATTTTATTCGGTGAACACAAACTTCGTCATTAGATCTTCAATTTTTTTAATTTATATCCAAAGTCGTTACCTCATTTTGCCGACATTAATAATCGCTGACACTCATACGACCACAATGAACAACACAGCAAATTAACAAAACTCCAGAAAAAAGTGAGAACATACAAGGCAAGTATGGGTCAGTTGCCTAATGAACACTGACTTCGAGTCTCAAATTTGGCAGGGCACGACTTCAATTCCTGGTATTTGCAGTCTTAAAAAAATTATTTAAGTATAATTAAATATAAGACTACTAATAATTTCAACACAAACAGAATAGTATTGAAATTTAAACTAAAAAAAAAAATAAATAAAATATAATTAATAAATTAAATTATTCTATTCTAAATTCTATTATTCTATTCTTTTTCGGTTTTTGATTTCGTTCTAATATAAACACAGCAAGTAAATTTGTTAATAAAACTTTCATAGCAAATTAAAAAAACTCCTGAAAAATGTCAAGTACGGTTTTGGAACAGTTGGTTAAGGTGCGCTGATTCTGAGCTTCACATTTGGCAGGGCACGACTTCAATTCCTGGTGCTTGCAGTCTTAAAAAATTATTTAAGTATAATTAAATATAAGACTACTAATAATTTCAACACCACTGATGATGATTATTTGGTAATACTCGAAACGGCTGTATGGTCAGCCAAAAATTCAATTCATTAAAATAATATAAAATACATTTTTGTTGTTGTAGTTCACTATTGTTTCGAAAAAACCTCTTTAAAAAACATTATGTTTATTAATATATCTATAGCTAAGGTCTAGCAAAATTTTAATTTGAATGCCGCTACCGCTCTTTATGTTTACTAACATATTAACAAACAACACGACACATTCAGTAACCAAAATACAACCGATTCAATCGTAAATAAAGTTGCATGCAACACATTTTGCCGGCTTGTGCTCATATTTAGTAGAAATCTGTTCTGTTTGCCAGCAATAAATTTATGTGAATAGTATGCGCTTTTACGTGTTAGCATGTCTGTATGTGTGTGTGCGTTCAAACTCATATAAGCTTGATTTGATGATTTGAATTTGCACATTTCATTTCGTGTGTGTGTGTGTGTGTATAGAGAAAGCTTGAATTGTTCTGCTACTGCTACTGCAATAGTGCAATAATAGAAACTTTCATCATAGATTTGAGAGTGAAGAGTGAAGAGTGAAGAGAATGTAGAGAGCAAGTTGAAAATGAAAGCTTTGTGGTGGAGCTTTTGCATATTCAATTTCATTTCAATCAAATTCATCAGTTAGAAATGCCTACCAGCGACTTTCAGTGAAATTTGAACAACAGTAGCGGTGCGAGTTTCAAATGAATCGGTTAATAGACGGAGGTTTAAAGGCTTATAAAAATAAATGATTATTTATATTGAGGAATGATGTAAAACATTAAATATTTTAAAATAAATTAATTGAATGTTTTAGTATTAATAAAATATATTATAAAATATATTATTTAAATTTATATACTAATAAAATGTACCAACAACAAAAATTAAAAATCTAAGTGTGCATAGCATACAACTTTTAGTGTAAAACCGTTTCGGTGGAAGTTTCATAGTTAAAGGATAATACAATTGCAGTCATTAGTTACCCCGAAACACACCCACACCAGCGTTTGACAAGTGAATGAAATATAAACAACCCCTGTGCGAGTCATGTGAATTTCAATGAAAGTACAAAATTCAAACAAAAAACAACACAAAAAATAAATAAAAAACAAATAAATGAAAAAAATAAAATAAAATAAAATAAAATACAATACGAAAAGCACATAGAAAAATGTATGAAACGCGTGGTTTTATGTGAAACAATGTACAATTGTTAAAGGATATAAACAAGGCAAAAGGACACACAACTAATGCTCGCCCCTTGTTAAAGTGTAGTGTGTAGTGTGTAGAGTGTAGTGTGTAGTGTGTAGCCTGTTTAAATTATGTTGTAATTGTTGCTATTGAATGTCAATTTATTATGTTTTTATTGCTTGACAACGACAACGAAAGCGAGAACGACAATGAACACTTTGCCAAAGTACACTCAGCAGGAGCATAAACAAAAAAAAAGTTATAATTGCGTCAAAGTGTGACAACAAAAGATATCCTTTTTCCTATGCGAAGCACCGTAAATGAACGAATGTGTTATATAAACACTCTATACTATACTAGAAAAGTATATTGTTAAATCCAACCAAAATTATATGCTAATAACAGCTAATCTTATTACACACACTTTATAATCATTAAGTAAGAATATTTTTAAATAAAAAAAAAGAAAAAAACTAATTCTATTACAAATAATTTGTGCTGAACATTATTTGTGCATTATTTATCAAGCCTTCAGCACAGCAGAAAAGGACTAAATCTTGCAACAAACAACCTTGACCAATTTGCATGGCTGAGTAGTGAATGGCAGAGTTTACGTTTGTGTCTATATAAGCAGCAGCTTAAGCGACCCAAAAACCCTCAAAGACAATAGCTTGTACTTTATAGCCAACAGACAAGCTGGCTACAAAGGCACAGTCAGTGTTGTTGCATTGCTTGTAGGCACTCCCTTCCTGCCGTCGCCACTTCAGCGCTTGTAAGTGTTACGAAAGATTTCAAGTGAACGTGGACACGTTGAAGAGAACGAGAACTTTCCGTATACGCAACCGGTAGAAATAATAGTTTATACTTTGTCTACTGAAAAAGGACATCAACTTAGTAGCTAACTGAAAATTTTGAAGAAGCTAATTAATTGCATAAACTTAAATATTTAAATATAAGAATATTATGAATAAGAAACTTAACAAAAAAAAAATAAAAAAAATTTATTCGTGCTAATAAACTAGTGAATAATATAAATATATAAATGTGAATTTACTAATATTTCTTATAAACTATGGCATAAAAAAGTATTTCAATAAACAATTAATTTAAATAGTAATAACAAAAAAAAAAAAGAAAAAAAAAACAATAAACTTTTATTTACTGCAACTAGCATTTAATTGATCAAAAGCTTGCTTTAAGTATTGCTGTAATGTTTGAAGTCCAGTCTAAGTTCACATGTATCACTTATTTCATATATTACTACTACGACTTTTCTAACCACTCGTTTCATCAAATCCAACAAAAATTGCAAACACTAACGCGACTACAACTAACTGAGAAGATCGCCTGCATACAACTTAAAAAAAGTTTTTATAAATTATTTTATCCTGTTTTAGTAAATAATACAAATGCTGTTGAAAAATGCTCCCAGAGCAAATACAAACAAACCCCACTAACGGATCTTTAAAGCCGCCGCAGAATACCGTACAAAACGGTTGTGATAATATTATCACCATAAGCACTACAAATTTGAACGAGTGCAACAATATAATTAGTTCAGCTGATACCGTAGAAGCATTAAAAACATCAAAAAGCGAACTTAATGACCAGACTATATTCGAACAGACTACAGCTAACAATACTTCCAGTACGAAGTTTGTACGATTCCTAAGTAAAAGCATTATTGCACCAACTACAGCTACTTCTCCATCAGCCACACCTACTACTACGTGCAATATTAACAATGTAACGACCGAACAATCACACCGTTTTGAGTTTTGCAGCATTTCACAATGGCTTTCATTTCAGGATAATATCGCTGATGTGCATCATCGTAGAGGTAGACGTTTGAATGGGCTACAGTTACCATTGCATCCGCTACAAGTGTTTGGCTGGCTGGTTTTAATATTGTTCGGCTTTGCTTCGTTTTGGTTACTTATACCATCGTTCAGCTCTGAAATTCAAGGACCATTATATGGTCTGATCTCTGGCTTATACATTGTGCACGTCGCCTCACACCTAGCTGCATTGCTTATCGATCCAGCTGATCGCGAGTTACGTCGCATACATCGCAACGATCGCATTGTGCCTGAGTTTGATCGTAATAAGCACACACATGTTATTGAAAACGGCCGTTGTCACTTGTGTAACATACGCACATCCTCGCAGCGCACCAAACACTGTTCCGTCTGTAATAAATGTGTCGGTAAGTTCGATCATCATTGCAAATGGTTAAATCATTGTATCGGATCCCGTAATTATGTGGCATTTCTAATGTGTGTCGTGAGTGCAGTGATCGCGACTTTGGTCATTGTTACGGCAGTGATTGCACAAATCGCTTTGTATTTTGTGCAGCCGGAATGGTTGAATTTTTGGTTCACCCATTCAACCTCAACAATTTCAACGTCAACGACTACATTAGCAACAACGAATAGTTCTAGTGAAACAGTGGCATTTGTGCTTAACAATAATGCTACCGACTCCTTCAAAACTGCAAATGCCTCATTCGGTTTAGATTACTTTGCTAATAGCAGTGTGAATGTTAGCACCTTGCTACTGGAAGATGATTTTGAAGGTACAAATGCTACAGCAACTGCTTTGTACGATAATATTTCTTCACTAGCTACTGATGCTGTCAATGAGAGTATATTTGTCAACCTCTCTGCTGTGAATACAACAGCTGGTAGGACAATTGCAATAAGTAATAACTCTACAATAACAACCATTGCTGGCATAGGTGTAAACGACACCATCTTCTTAGTGCTAATAGGTTTGCTCGGCTTGCTGGCTGCGATCACTGCTGGTTTGTTACTACATCTATGCTTTTTTCATATATATATTTCATTCTTGGGACTTACAACTTATGAATACATACGTAATCATCGACAAGCTCAAGAGGCGAAAGCTAAAAACTTGCTCTCCACTCTGCCAAAGTCTGATGAACAGCACTTCTCAAAGAGTCCGTCCAAAAAGACTAAAGATTGCGGCCAAATTTACTTCTGTTCCACTTTAAGACATCCAAATTCTATAAATGCAAAGGATTTGCGTTTTTTCGAGTCCCGTAAATTAAACGTAGACAGCGACGATGATGAAAATCATACTGCTAAACTACATTGCTGTGCCAATTCTAGGGAATATCATCAAACTGCCTTGAAGACTTATTACATGTGTTCGCTTCTAGAGGAGGGTGCAACTAGTCCTGCCATGACTATACCACAACTTGGTGGCAGAGACAATCTTATTGATCAACAATCACTTGCACATAACGATGCAGCTGATTTTAAGACGTTTCACTGTTGCTCCACATTCGCGGCTGCTACTGCACAGCGGAAAGTTAGTGCAACCACTACAAAATCCAGTTTAGTGACCGATTTTGAGGCAGCAGCTGCAAGTCTGAGCGCTCGGCGTTCTTATATGCAATTTACTGAACAATGCACTTTTTGTACATTCCGCATACGTAGTCCAATTGTAGCTAAAAGGAACAGTATCAGCGCAACCAGTACAAGTACGATTGGTGGACAGCGCTTACCAACTAAAACGCAGTTAAGCAAAAATTTAATGTCAACTAAAACATCAACAGCTGCTGCAAATAATATTGGAGCAGACCATCAGCGATGCTGTATGAAGGCTATTTCGAAGCATCAACGTTGGCGCAGGAAATGGAATTGTTGCTCTAACGTACCTGACAGTCCTGATGTGCCCAATGACATTATAGCCGCTTTAGCAATGCGACATCAGCATGACTTAGCTGCGGGTGCTGACAAGAAAATTAATGCCACCGAAATTCCAGTGCATTTCATTAAAACAGTACATAATAGTGCCACTGGCTCTGGGGCTGGTGTAGCACCGTTGGCCACTTCTCCACGCAGTGCCAATCTGAAAACACAAAGTCGTAACCGCAACTCACGCACGTGGCCTGTACCTAGACTACGTCATATGATGCGTATGTTAAATCGTTATCGTCGGCCACGTTGTCGAAATCTTAATACCGTCAATGCGAATGGCGAACAAATAAAACAAAATCAAATCCGCCCATTGCAAGTGCAAAACAATGCTAACAATTGGTTTTATCAACAGTACCAACAACAACAGCAAGAACAAAAGTTTCTACAACCATATAAGGAAAACTTGCAACAAAACTATTATGATAGCAGTTCCCCACAACCACCATCATCAACGACTACCGCATCAGAACGCAGCAGCGATCCGAGCACATATAGCGATACCAGCAGTATTACAACACCAGGTTCCACACAACCAAATACTGTAGAAACAATTTTGCCCACATCCGTAATTAGAGATGACATGTCAATGACATATACCACACCTGTTGGTATTACCTTGCCACCAGCTTTACCACCACCAACTCGTCGCAAAATACCAAATCCTACCGACTTAGAAGAACTTGCGCAGACGTTGGGATTTGCATCACATCCGTCCAGCAATGATACAACAACGCTGTCAGCAACACAGCGTTTCCCTATAATAAATAATGTCTATCGACGTCAACGGCGCAAACATTTCTTGCGAACACGCTCGCCGACTTTATCACCTATACATGAGTCGGGATTATCCAATCCAACTTCACCACAGCCCTGTCGTCACAACACTAACAATAGTTCTCCAACACCGACATTGAAAGCAGCTGCAAATAATACAAATGAATTGTTGCGAAAGACTTCCTCAAATAATTCATTGAAAAGTGTTAGTTCTAATTCCAGTAGTACCTAAATTCTTGGAACCGAAGTATACGGGAATATGTTTTACATACATAAATATAATAAGTACATTTTATTTATATTATATATTGTATAAATAAGTAACGCTTAGCATATCTTTGTGCAGTTTATTAGATAATTTATAAAAAAAGTGCGTGGGACTTCAGTTATGCAGAAGTATAGCTGAAAGAAGTACAGGGAAGACGCTATTAAAATTTTTGCAAAATAATTACATTTAGAGAAAAGATTATAGTAAATGTGTTTATAGAATAAATTTTATTGCATACGATTTAATGAAGATAAATTTCTTAGTTATTGTCTTCTGTCACAAAAAAGTCGGTAGGTAGCAAAACTTTTTATTGTGAGATAAGTCATAGTAATTTTTTTAACATGCCAAAAAAGAATTCGGACAATTTCGAATTAATCAAAGGCGTCCATTTAACCCATATTGCAATGAATAAAGCGTATATTTGAATAGAGACATTTTGCGGAACTTGTGCTAAGAAATCTATAATATATACCCTTAAACTTAAGATGATGTTGATTGTAAGATGAAAAATTTAAATAGATTTTTTTTGAATATAATTGGTTTTATCTAAGTTTATAACAATATATGAACTAAATAACTTTAAATAATAGTTTCAGAAAGCAGAAGTATTTTTCCATTCAATAAAATTTTTTATTAAATTTTTTTCAAGTTCCAGAGAAAAAAAATATATGATCTATTAAATTTACTTTGTTAGTTAAATGATATCACTCAAATTATTTTGTGTTCACTATATATATATATAGATTGATTAATTGTGTTTAAATATAAAAAGTAATAATTTATAAATAACAATTAGGTTTTATATACATTTTTTAATAAATCTTGTTTATTTTATAAGTAAAAACATACTGTACAAAAGTTTTTAGTCGGTTTCAATTACTGAGACCTACATTTAAAGTCATTTTTAATTGTGGTCGACATGCTTGGTTCAAGCTCATGTAGTTTATCTATACAATATAGATACAAATACAGTATATAGATATATAGATATATATACAATATATAAATACAATATATCTTTAATATTTAATTCCATATTTATACTTCTATAATCAAAATGATTATACTTCCCAATAGTATTTATTTAGTTTGGTGTGTTTGGCTATAAAGTTGTGCACACACCCCCTTGTTGGATCTTCACCGAAACCAACTAAAGATTATATGTATTAGAAGTTAATTATATGAACATTATGGCTCATGTTATGTAGAGTGTTATGGGCACGTCAAAATTAAAATTGTTGTCGGTGATGAGAGCCGAGACTTTGTGTAACTCATCACGTAGTCAAAACCGTTTTGTATGTATGTATATATTTCCTTTAAAATTTAGGCATAATCAAAAAGTACGAAAGTAATAGTAAAAATATGAAATAGTAGAAATATGAAAAACTTATTTGGCATCATAGCCCGAAAGAGTCAATTTTGACGTGCCCGTGACATTCTACATAACATGGACCTATTAAAAGTTTTTAGCTACTGATTTTTATTCATTTGTACGTGGTTGAGTTTAGTGATTTAAATCTTCGTTGATTCCGTTGAAAGGTATCCCCTGTAAAATGGGCATACTGTTACATTTGGCTAGAGGTGAAAAAAGTTATGCAAAAAATGAATATTATCTGAACATAATATTTTTCATTTTGTTTGGGTGTCATGTTATGTAGAGTGTCATGGGCTCGTCAAAATTGTATATTTTGGGCTTTGACGAAAATGTATGTTATGCAGAGTGTCAAAGAAATTGTAATAATTTTCTTCTAAATAACACAAATGTTGACATTTATTGCTGAATAATATTGCTTTGCCTAAGTGACGAGGCATTGATAGCTTCATCTCTCATGACCAAATTTAAACCGACATATTGTTTCTACTCTCACTCTCAATTTAATAATTTGCATTGAACACAACAACAATTTGGGTTATGACGAGCCCATGGCACTCTACATAAAATGGTTTATGTGTAGATCGATTTTATAATAAAGCGAAATATTTGATGGGAGGTTTCTAGAGATAGTGTTAAACTCATAGTTGAAGCTAATGATAGCTGTTACTTGTGCAAATTTTCTTACAGCGTCTTTAACCAAGAATTTTTTTTTAATTATTAATTTAAAAATTTTGTTCTTAGTCAATTAATTGAATTTTTTTGTGATATCATCATAAGAGCTGGCGTGGTAAATTGTTAATTACGTTTACATTTCAAAAGGCAGCTTTGAAGGTATTCACACTACAAATTGCCAGTGTTGCCAGTGTCAGTTCCTCATATACAATAAATTATAAGTGTGTTGTATAAACATAAGTGTGTTTGTTTATACTGTTCGTTCATCAACTTAGAATGATTGTTCTTTGTGTTATTAATTAACTTAATTATGATCATATTTAAATAAAGTCCTTTATCCTTTTAATGGTAAAAATAATAAATAAAAAAGAGTAAAAAAGTGTAAAATCTAATTTAAAGCTTATAACAATAATTTTTAAAAAATACAATAAAAAAAATGTATTTTTAATAAGATTTACTAGAGTTTTATATGTTAGATTTTAGGTAAAAGAGGTCAAAACTTATCTAACAGGTTGTTAACGAAATTACAAGAACAAGATAAAATATTGTAAAGAAAGCCAAATTATTTATTCCCAGAAAGGAAATTAACAAAAATATATTGAAAGCGAAACAAAAGCGAAAAAAAAAATGATTATTTGTAAAAAATAATGCAAAAAAGTAACAAAAAACAACAAAAAGCCAAAATTGTAATAAAATTGAGATAGAAACAACATATTGTTAACATACAAAGTTCACGATATATAAACATGATGAAAATTTATAGAAATATATATATATATATATGAGTGTATAAAAAGCTTGAAATTTTTCCTTTAGTAAAATGTTTTTTTTTTTAAATAAAAAAATATAATTATAAAAATGTACTTTTGACTCTAGAAATTGGTTTAAGTTTCAATTTTTGTGCATAGGAAAAGCCTGAACCTTAACCAAGTATAACGAAATCAAGCAAGAACACAAGAACACAAAAAGGATAATTTGCGTGTAAGAAAGATTTTTTTTTTTGGGTTGAAAAAGGTACAAAGTAAAGGACGAATTTCTAGAACCGGAGTATGTGCCGACTTTTTGTGTATAGACCAGTTCCAAATAATTCATTTTGCATAAATTTTGATAGAAATGGTAAATAGACTGAAGCACAAATTGTTTTCGCTTAAAAATGACTATACAAAAAAAAGTTCTTATAATAAATATTATATACTATATATGCATATATGTATATAAAAGACAATTAAAATTAAATATTCATAACAGAAGGGCAGAGAAAGAAGGCAGAGTAAGAAAAGAGTTCAATTTGAAAATTAAAACAATTTATATGATTGTTTTTTCGGAAGATGTGCAATTTTAAGTGACTTAAAGTGACTTGATTTTTATTTTATTTAGCAACATTTACAAAATAAATATATGGAAATAACATAATAAATATATTGTATTAAATGTATTATTTCAATATATATTAAATAAATGTGTTTTATCATATAATGTAAAAATTAAACTAATATGAATATTAAATAAAAAAAACAAAAACAAATCAAATCATAATTGTTTATATTGTCTGGCAAAAGTTTTAAGTTAAGACGTCCACTTATTATTGTTTTATTTATCTATGGAAACTGTGCTTTGTGCGTATAAATTGCAAGAGAGAAGGGAAAATTGTTCATAAAAACGTCAGAACCACAAAATCACTACAATGGTCATAATATTTTTATGCCTTCAGCATCCTTCATCTAAAGTTCACCAAAACAATCTTATGGGGTCTGAAATCGTACATTTTAATCAGCCTTGCCACGTTGTCGAAACAATAAAACTGAAAAGCATTCATAAATAAAGAAAAACAATAAAATACTTTTAGACATTTGCGAATGGTGGTACAAGTTTCCCCTTTCTTACAGCTACAGCTTTGAAAAATAATTATACAAACAACAAAAACACTTTTCAATAATAGTAAATGTTATCTTCATGATTTTAGTGGAAAATATTTTAAGTTTCATGGTAAGTCAGACAACAGTTATGAGGTTTTCATAATAGAGATTTTCTTGAAATTTTATGAAAATTACATGTACTTTATTTAGGAAGGATTGAACAATAGTGAGTTATAACAAAAAAAAATTTAACTTCATATTACTCTGAAAATGTCTATAGACCAGGGTTGTTCAACGCATGGTCCACGGGTCTCATGTGGAATGCGGTTAACAGTTGTGCGGCCCGTTATAGTTTTCTAATCCATCATAATTAAGTAAATTATTTTTTGTTGAATTTGGTAAAATTACATTATTTCACGTTTATGGTATCCCAGAGAAATCAATAAAAATGTTTTGAATAATGTATTACACTTCAGGTTGATTAACTTGATTTACAAAGACTTGCCATAAGTCTACTTGACAGTGCTATAAATCCAAAAAAATAAAACGTTTTTCGTCTGATAACAACTAATATTAATAATGTTTATATTAATAGAATTGTAAAAGATAAATTAATAAATAATTAATAAAACTAAATTTAACATGAGTCACGTTTATTAATCCATTGATCTGACCTAAAGCTGTATTTGATATTTGTTGTCCTAACTTTTTAACATATGTCAATTTTTAAGAAATGTTAACCCGCAAAGACACTTATGCTATATTAGGACTAAAGCACAAATCACCTATACATTATTTAAATAAATAATTTATTTTTAACTAAGTTTTTTATTGCTAGAGTATTTGTTTTAAAATTAAACTTTTTGTGGAGACATTAGTTATGTTAATCTATCAATATATATATAACATATAGCTTAAGGCTTCAGTAACGGTAGCTAACAAATCTTATTTTAATTTTGTAAGTAAAATGATTTAAAAAAAAGTACATAAATAATACAAAAATATACATATAACATAGTGAAAATTAGTGCAAATCCTGTATTGGGGTGTGTTCAAACACAAACGTGACATTTTTTAAAAAATATTTATTTAATTTGCAAAATTTATGGAATAAACTGAAGATTATGAAGATTTTAAATAAATCTCCTATTTAATACTATGTTATCGTACTATGTAATGCCATCGTAGTTACCAGTTACAAAAGTGCTGTTGGAATGCATCTTAAGGTGTGATCTTGAGTTCTCTCTCCCATTTCGCATTAATTTAATCTATAGCAGCATTTTTTGTCTTTCAAGTCTTTATTTTGCAGACTCAAGACATTTTATATTATATAAAAATATGCATAAACTTTTTAAAATAATTAAAATAACATTTTTTTATATAATATAATTAAATTTATTATTTAATTAAATATTTATAAGTAATCGAAATTATATTTCAATCCAAATTTTTACCTCTTTCGTTAAAAAATTTATATAAAATCTATAAAAAAATATATATATATATAAACATTTTCTAAATAATAAATTTAATATTTGTTATAAAAAAATTCGTAAACCTAAATTTTTATATTTTTAATAATAATTTAAA